TTAATGCTTAAACTGATTAATTTTTTCACATGACCACCAAAATCTTAGATCTAGACACTTGTCACAGCATACTAATGAATATTCCTGCTTCACTGCCTTTGCTTCTCTACACTCTATATCACCTCCTATCTACTCAGTAGTCAGAAAAGATAAATTTAAAAGACCAGTTGTAGCTCAAACAATTGGCATTTTGTCATTTAAATTTTAAGTGTCTGTGATGATACATGATGAGCCCTGTGCTCCATACCTCTCTACTCCTTTTTCCTTTCTTAGTTTCAGCTAAATTCATCTTTATTTCTGTTGCTCTAACATGCCAAGGATGGTCCAACCTCAAGATTTGGCATTTGGTTGTTATATTTTCCTATGGTCATTCTTTACTTGCTTTGATACCTTCTGCCTGTCCTGATATGTACTCAAAAGAGCCAATGCAGAAGACCAGATATCTTGCAACTATGAGGAAAAAAACAAACACGTCTCCACTGCAGGCAAAAATCTCAAGACAGAAGATAAAATAAGTGTAGCCACATCATAATGATAAACATCACGGACTGATATACTATATAGGTATCAGATCATCTTGAGGAAGTCAGAGGGGCCACTAACCAAACCATTGAAAGCAAAGTCCCAGTTCTATATTCATGCTCACTTGCTTTGTGACTAGTTTCCTCATTTGATCCTGATTTAATTAAATTTACCTGAGAAATCACACTTGTAATCATATTGGTTGACCATAGTTCTGTCCCTCCTCATGTTCACCTTGCCAGTTCCCATTTTTTTTGACTTTACACCTGCCTCATCTCTGGGTTTTGCTCTATAAAAATTCCTAGAAAAAGCTCTTGGTTGGCGGCCCACTTGGGACTCCTCCTACAAATCTAGGAGTTCTTCTTTTATTATGATTGCCAATAAAAACTTTGCTATTATCATGTTTTGTTTTGCAACTTTATTTCTGAGTATTTGTGGAACCAGGAGCTATATATATTATGTTAGGGTTTCAGAGACTCTACTGCAGCCATGGTTCACAAGGGCCAGAAAATTCCACACATAGAGTGCCAATTAGGACACAACTTTCTTATGTTACTGTGTTACTTTAATGCTGAGACCATTGTGTGATATATGGCACACATCCAATACTGTTTTAAACAATTTTTTGGTACCAGGAATTGAACTCACAACTTTGCACTTGCCAGGCAAGCACTTAGGCCACTGCACTAAATCCCCAGCCTTCAATAATCTTCTTACTGAAGGTATGAAGCCATAAAAATGGAAAAGCACTGATTTCTAATATATTAATTTCAAAACTGAATATCTGCTACTATTTCAAAATTTGAGTCTTTGTTTTGTTTTATTTTTAGAGGTATTATCTGCAAATAATTGTTTTCCTTTAAAGTACTTGCATCTAATACTGTGCTATCTTTCCTAATTGGCACTCTATGTGTGGAATTTTCTGGCCCTTGTGAACCATGGTTGCAGTAGAGTCTCTGAAACCCTGGATGACTGAACTCGTGGATTCACTTCTCTAGACAGTCCAGTGAGTAGGGTGCCCTGAGCTGCAGTTCTTAAAGCAAAGGTTTTTCAAACGAATTTATTATTTTATAACCTTCCTGGTAGGTGGTTTCTGATCAATTCCTGAGATGTTCTCAAACCATCTTATTGTCTTGGTGCAAAGTGCTTATTTTGCTCTCTCAGTATTGGGAATTGAACACAGGAACTTCATACTGAGCTACACCCCCATAACTTTTTTTTTTTTTAAACAAGGTCTCAATAAGCTGTTTAAATACCCAAACTTCTGATATTCCTGCTTTGGCTATCCTGAGTACCGATGAGGTAGGAAATTACAGTGTGGTAAACTGGCTGGGGATGTGGGTGTGAACTATCTATTACAAAATTCTAGAGCATACAAGCAACACAGGTCTCAGAGTCCTGAATGTGAAACAAATCAAAGTGCTGCCTTCAATTTTCCTTGCAAGAACCCAGGTAGATTTTGATAGGACAGTCTAGCTCTGATGTTAGCCTAGTGAGTGTGAACTACAAAAATGGCTGCTCCTTTCCTCAGCACCAGTGTGTTCACTCTTACACAGTGGTCTGCTCTCACCCCACAGACTGTACCTTTTTTCTTAGTTAAAGGTAAGATTGGCTTAATTAAAATTTACTTAAACTTGCTCAGCAAAGTATATTTGTTGTCTTTCTGTGATTAAAAGCTATATAAAAATCTAGCCATTTCTTATTTGTTTGCCTTGTCTTGTCCAATTCTTTGTTCAGCACAGAAAGAACCAAAAACCACCATTACAAGCTGAGTCTAGTCTCCCAAAACCTAGTAATAATGAAACTACAGGCATAAACTACCATGCTAAGCATTTACAATTTTAGTAGCATTTTTTGTTAAGCAACCATAATTTTTTTGACATCAACTTTATATACACCTTTCCTAGTTAGCCCAACTGGCTGTGAACTCATCAGTGGGATAATCCACAGTGACCCTACGATCCAGTTTCCTGAAACTTCAATTTTGAACACATACTTTCTGGGCACATGTGAGGATTAAACTATACTAGATTGGATGCTCAATTTTCCCCAGTGTTTCACAGGACTCTTCTTCTTAGCACTGAGAAAATACATAAATAGAATGTAAGGCCAGTTCTTCACTGGATATGTTTCCCTACCCTAATGTAACATAGGCAGCTCAGATTCAACATGCCCCAAATAGGACTGGTCACTTTCCACTTGTATCCCCTATGATGATTTATTTACTCATTTATTAATTGTTACTATTTATATTTAAAACAGAATCTGAGAGTCTAAAAATACTTTATTTTCTCACTCTTCAAATGAAATACTAAGTAGTATTTATTTATTTTATGCTCCTTTTTTCTATTTTTTCTCCCTCTCCAAACCTACCTCATTTTTCTAGCACGGACTGTCAACATCTCTTTCTTTGAAACCCTACTAGTTACATCTAAGTAGCTCATAAATTAGTCTTGTATAATGTGGATCTAGATGTGTGAACCTAAACTGTAGGTGACCTTTTACTTTGCCTTGATAGTATTTTTATTATTTAGCCTCACTTCCTCATTTTTTAACTTTGTTTCAGAATTTATTTGTTACTCTGACTGCCGATTTGATTAACTCAGCCACAGGAGCTGAGAGAAAAAAAAAAAAAAAAGACCAAGATTAGATAGCTATCAGATTGGCAACAGAGGCAAAATTTAATGTCACACTTTTGCCAAGGTTGTGTTAAAGAAGATGATAATATTTTATTGTAAGAGGTAAAATTGGTAGGAATTCTCTGGAGGATGATTTGGCAACAGCTATTTTATATAAGATGTACTTATTCACATAGAAATTTCACTTCTTAGAATTTACCCTGCAGATTCACTTTCATGTATGTTTAAAAATTATTCACTTAAATAATCACTGCAAATATAGAAAAGAAAATAAGCACATGGTCATCAAAAGTTCAATAAATAAATATATCCCAACCAGATAGACAGTGAGATACTATGCAATTAAAAAGATTTAACTAGATCTGTCAAACTAATCATGCCAGAACTTTGTGATTAAAAGGATATAGGTATTTAAGGTTCATATTATCATTTGTATGCAAATTACAGACACACATACATATATGCTTAGCTATATATGAACTATCTCTAAATGACTACACGTACAAAATATACGGGTGGTGATATATGGCAAAAGGCTAAACCTGGAGGTGTGAGAAACTTACTTGTCATTGTATATCTTTGATAATGTGTGATTTGTTTTATGCATATTTTTTGTTATGCACAATTTTGACTACTTTAAATTGATATAAACAAAACAAATGACAAAGAGGTAAAACTTGATATCATTTAAAATGTCAGAAACAGTTGCATATGTAAATGATATGCATCTATACTTCTCATACTGAAATCAACAAAAACATATACAAACACATTGCTTACATGTGCATGTACATGTAAAAAAAACTAAATAATTTTTTAAAAAGACACCTAACCGTTGTAGTTTATAGCAAGATATTTTTAAATGAAGTCTTTAAGATGCTGCCTAATTCTTTGATGGCTAAACATGTTTACTTTCCAAAATCAAATGTACAAGGTAATGTGTGCATAGCTGATATTTCAGATTCTTTTTTTTTCTCCTGGAAAATTGTGACTTTTATAAATATGTTTCTAGGACTAATACAAAAAAAGAATATATTTAACCATTAAAAAGCTGTGTAGTCTTGCAATTAATTAGTAAGGTGCTAGCCACATTTTTGTGCAGCATAGCCCATAATCATAATTAATCCATATGAAACAACTATCCATATATTCAATTCAAAAACACCAATAACACTTAACTCCAAGTCCAAGTACTGGCCTGTCACTGTAAATAGTTCTCTGGATGGTACTACATGAACTTTAAAGAAATGTTTATTCCCCAAAATACCTCTGTTTGCCCTGCTGCCTATATGACAGTATGGATTAGCTCTGAAAATCTGTAGCACACATAATACCCAGGGAAGCAGTTTGTAACACAGAATCTTTAATCAAGAAGAGTGGGAGTAGGGAGACAATGATTCTCAAGTTCTATCCAACAATACAAATTGTTAATTAAAATTATGAACAGTATTACAAAATTCTTAAACTAGAGAATGCAACTTGAAAACTTTTTAATGCACCTATAAAATACTGAGTTCCCAGCATTTCAAAAAAATTTCAACAAATGATCTAGAATTTGAACTGCATTAGGGCTATATGCAAAGGGCTGTTTGCTAAATGAGCTGTAAAAGACATTTTAGCACACATTTTCCAAAATTCCATATATCTAAAATATGTAAAATATATGAACATACAATTTTAATACTGGTAAAACTGAAGTACTAAACTGTAGTGAGAAGAAAGATGGCATTAGGTTAAAGAAAGAGGATAAATGAAGTTTTCTAAAGAGAAATCAATTTATGATCTAGCTAATATGATTTGAAGAAGATAAAAAATAGTACTCAAAAGAGTATTTAGGGATTTTGTCTGTTTTTTTTTTGATTTTTCTAGTACGAGGGAATTGAATCTAAGGCTTTCACACTGAGCTACATCCCCACTCTAATTTTAAAACACGAGCCTGTTAAATTGTTAAATTCTCCAGAACTTGAATTTGTGATTCTCTTGTCTTGGGCTCCTAGAGTACTGAGATTATAGACCTGCATCACCACTTCTGGATTTAATGTCAAATTTTTATTGCCAAAAGGATAACTTGTGTTCACTCTTTCTCTATGTCCTTTCTATCTCAGTGGCTAATACACTAAGTGCAGATAGGTTAAGCTAGTTCCACCTGGACGACAAAAGGCATACAAATTTACTAGCATGAAGAAAAAGCACAGAAAGTTAAACTTATATGAAAGACAAATTTGTTCACTTTGAAAATGAGGCCATGATCCTTAGCTCCAGAGGCCTGCATAGTTCCCATGGAGGCCGGAAGGGAGAGGACCTCCTGCAACAAACAGCTTCATCTCAGGCCAGTTGTAACAGTGAGTGTAGAGTGCATTCGGGAACTCCTCCACTGCACCAAAGTAGTTCACCCAAAGGTCATCATGATTGAGCCAGCCTCTGCCACAGATGAGTTTGAGTTTCCTCCGTGCAGGCCCATGCAAAGAGTCCAAGCTGGAAACAGACCTCTCCTCCAGGAATTTCTGAGCACGGATGTCATAGAAGAGCAAGGAGCTATGACCTGTGCCCACAGTTACAATGTACTGGTAAAAGCTCAGAGAGCGCACACCTGTGCCACCGTCTCGAGAGCACAAGGGCCGAACATTCTGCCGCCTCTCGCGTGGATCAAGAAAGGACACATGTGACTGGGAGCCTACTGCGTACAGGGATAAGTCATCACAGTAGGTCAGGCACACATTTTCTCGACAATAAGGCAGCCTGATAGACAACAACCTGGACAGATTATTCCGGGTTTTCCACAGGTGAAAGTAACCATCTAAGGACACAGCTCCCAGCTCCTGGTTCTTGCTACTGAATGCCAGGGCTCGTACTTTCCGATTTCCAGGGTTGCTGTTGACTCTGGGAATCATCTCAATGTCACTCGGACGGATGTGGGCATATGCTGGAACCTGTCCTTCATTGTTGCAGGAAGGGCTGCCACTGAACAGGTCAGGATCCACTTGCCACAATGCTACGGTCCCATCACGAGAGCCACTCACAGCCACAGTGTCATTTATCCATGCGATGGAAAAGATCCAGTCCCTGTGGCCCTGTTGGTCGCCAAGGCACACAGGGTCTAGGGTGGGCAGCTGGTAGACTCCTAGGCTGTTGGGGTTTTCGCCCCCGGTGGCCAGCAGAGTCTTGGAGGGATTCAGCTGAATGGCATGGATGCCTGAGGTTGTCTCTGCGCTGACTTGTGCTGGAACTCTGTCCTGCATCAAGGGGATGTGAGTGATATGGCCCGTCTGCACGTCTACAACGAAGAGGGTGTTGCATTTGGTGCCGCACACTACCTGCCTGGCGTTCAGCCACTGCGACGCGAACACCTTGTTGAGAGTGCCCAGGACCAGCTGACGTTCAGTCAGTAGCTCCGGCAGCCTCTGCACCGCGTAGCCGCGCAGCACGCCCTCGAAGCCCCGGAGATTGGCGCAGCCCCCTGCGCACATCTCGCGGCCCTTCAGGTAGTACACCACGGAGCGATGCTCCTCCAGCCCCTTGTGCTTCTTGGGCCGCAGGACACCCTCTCCTTGCCCAGCTGCCGCTGAGCTCTGCGACGACGAGCTCCCGGCGCCCGCCTCGACAACGGGCTCTTTCCGCTTCCTGCTACCTGTTTGCTGCGGGACCATGATGGGCCTCAGAACCGCGGCGGTGTGTTGCAGTGGTGGCGGAGAAAGCGCGTGGCACCCGCGTTGGCCGCGGAGGCAGCGTAGATAGCGATGTCTCGGTGTCAGCTGAGAGAGCTAGGTCTCAAGAGCAAGGAAGGCGGAGGCAACAGTGGGTCGGAGTTCTGGCTGCACAGGCAGCAAAGAAGAGGATGGCGGCTGGTCTGAGGGAGGAACGCGCTGCTGGAGGGAGCAGAGTATTGACAGAGAGGCAGCGAGGAGGCTGGAGGCACTTCAGAGTTAGGCGAGGGCAGGAAGTACGTTGGTCCTAGAGGAGGCAGGGAAGTCTGTAAGGGGTGAAGATGACGCGAGGTCATGAGAGAGTGAGAGAGGGCGGTGGAAAAGGCAGAAGGGAGGGTGGGTGTGCCCTGGTGCTCGGCAGAAAGTGCTGAGGTGGGGGTGGGGGTGGGGGTGAGAGTGGGAGAAAGTTGGGTGGGGCAATGTGGGATGGGGCAGTAGATCCTTCCTGCCTCTAGGGAGGTTCCTGGAGGATTGTGCTCCAGGATTTCTAGTATCCACAATGAAACATTTAGCACCCTCAGGACAGCAGCCAACTAGCCTTAAATTCCCTAGTTGAATAAAATCTGAAACTTGAAATACAGTCTAACAAGAGCCTAGAAGGATCCATGATCGTGATCATTTATGTTTAAAGGAAAAAGAAAATGTGCGCTTGATATAATACTGGGAGTTCTTTTAGTGGTGGAGAATTTCTCCCTGTTAGCAATATATAGATACAGATCATATTGATATATACATATTGACATAGGTATAGATACACGTACATATAGATACATGGTTGACGGGTGTCTTCCGTACACCCCTAGATCCCTTCCAATAGTGGTAGGGTAGTGCAAACTTTAGCCAAACGTAGCCTTAAAAATTTAAGAAGGCTGTAATGATGTGATGTGGAGATGCAAGGGTTAAGGTTGACCAGAAATAGGATCCATGACTCTAATTTCTCCTAAACTTCAGAGCACTGAGATGGTTGAAAGGAGGAGAGTTCCAACAGGACAAGTGAGACCTTCCTTCTCCAGGAAGGAAACATTTCCTTGGCGATGTCAGTGCCAGGCTTCCAGGCAGAGAAAGATCTCTGGTGGGTTGGGGCAGGCAAAGCCTTGAGGAATACAGAGAATTTCCAGCAAAAGATGATGAGGAATAATTTTCCAGAGGAACAACATGGATACAGTTGTGAGGGTATAGATAGCTGGGATGTGAGCTTGAAAGCATCAGAAGGCAGTTCTTAGTATCTTCTCTGCAGTTTCTAGGCAGCCAATCTAGCAGCACGTACGTGCAGGGCTGAGTTATGCCATGATACATTAGGCTTGTAAATGCAGGTTGGTAAGAAAAGCTGCTTATGTACTGTTCTCTCCAGAAAAACGTGTTTGTTGAATGGTGTGGGGCATACGATATGTGGGGGTGTGAATTAATACTTAGAACCATCTTAGAAGATTATGGGAGCTGCTTTGTTGTCAGCCTTCTTCCCTCTTCCTTAGTCCTCATCCAATTCACAAAATTACCACAAATGAACAGAATCCAAACAGAAACCCTGGGTCCATTTTGCCTGGATAATCCAACAGCTATAGTCCATTGCCCACCACATTCAGTGTTTCCTCCCAGGTGGAAGCCATATCAAGAAAAGAGTGGAGCTGGTTAACAGGGAGTAACCTGATGAAAAAAAAAAAAAAAAAGAATACTGATAAGTTCATAATTCCATGTGATATCACTGAAGAGTAATTGATCAAAAATTCCTTTCACTTATCATTAACAGAAATGTGGTTTATTTCTGTTTTAGAAATCTAACATAGGAAAACTGATATTATGACATTATGTCATGGTTTTATTAAGACTTCATGACAAGGTATTTATTGTTATGGTAGAACAAAATAGGCTAAAATATTTGGGATATAGCAGCTTATTTGGCTATGCATGTTTACACATAGTTCATTTACAAAAATAAAAAGTATTTACAACAACTATTATTTAGTAAATGACTATTTGTTTAATTTTAAACAGAAAAAAGTAAGAAATGACAATAAAATAGTTTTAAGACAGGCTAGTAGGAATGTAGCAATAATCAATATATTTGCATATTGTTCTATTCACAGTAGTTTTTCAACACACAAGATATAGGTATGAAATGCCCAGTAAGTTATTTGCACAAAACTTTCCCCTCAAAGGATCAAGAGAAACCAAGCAGACTACTATAGTAACTGTCATATATATATATATATATATCTTCCTTCATGGTTTTTCTTTTCTTTAGAAAAGTTTCTTCAATATTTACAATATACATTGTGCATTTTGGATCTTAGTCTTTCAGATTGTCATGCTAGCTTACACAGGTGTTTTTGATTTATTCTTCTTAGTAATACTGTTTATTTCTCTTATGACTATGGTCTCAAGTTGCATATATTTACCTATAAAACTCTCAAATTTTTATTTCTTTATGGCTGAATGCTATTCCATTATATATTAAAAGATACACACACAACTTTTTTTATCCATTACTCAGTTGATGGGCATTTGTGTCATTTCCAAGATTTATGTATTGCAAATTGTGTTGCTATGAACATGGGTGCATATAGCACTGTGGGAAAATGCCTGTTTGTATCATGGGCTAGAACAATATGCTAAACATTTCAAATGCTAAAAGCCTTATACACATTTGGCATCACAATATATTTATATTTTAGGTTCTATTTTTATTTTAATGCTTTAAAATGAGGGAACTGAAGCTTGGAAAAAGTATGACTTAATGATTACCCAACTAGTAAATGCAAAAATCAAGATATGAAAACCTGCTTGACTCCAACACTTTTATGACTATTACACTGTTTTCTTCAATAAATAAGATTTTTGTTTCTTCTTTTTACTTTTTTTTAAATGATGTAATCTACAGAGATTATGTCTTTTGTACTCCTGAAAAATAGCACAATTCCTAAAGTATGAATATTAAATGCAAATTATTTGTAACATTTCCTATATGACATTTTAAGGCATAAAATGATCATTGGGATATATTTGTTTGTTAAAAACTTTATAAATATTTATGTGACATCATACATATTCACATTTTTTAAAAAATTTGGTAAATTAACTTTTATATATATAATCCTGATTTTATGTTTCTCCATATTTTTGTTACTGCAAGTGTGCAGTATATGCATAGCAATGTCATTAGTTTAAGATCAGATTAGCATTTTGTATTGATAAATAAAGTTTGTTAATTTCATCTATAATATTATCTCTGTAATATTTAGTTAATTTCTAGGTTTCAAATTTTTTCTGTGTGTTTTGAAGAGCTGCAAACATTTTCCAAAACAAAGAGAGGTGATGTCAACAGATAGATTGTTCTATATACGAATTTTCAGTTTTGAATAATTTTATAATATTGATTCCATTTTTAGGAAAACACATTATCTTGTAATATAAGTCATAATCTATGTATTTCTTATTGATGCTATAAATATAATGCCATGATGATAAAAATTTCAAGCATCTATTTTTGAGACTAAAACCTTGGAGCATAGGTATTACATGAAAACATGAATTTTGATTACTAATTTAAAGTTAGTAAGGAAATATTTATTACTTCTATGTGGCCTCATTACTTTGCTGTGGTGTCAGGAATATAAACTTAGTTAAATATGAGTTAATTATTTTCTGTTCGTATTTTTTAACATTTAAACTGTAATATTCTCTGGACAAAAGTATTTAAGTTGACAGAAAGGTAGTAAAAATACTAGGAATGGTAGATCATTAACAAATTTTAGGAAGCATTCAATTCCAAAAGTTTTTAAATATAATTTTCTATAGGAAAATAGACATTATTTGTGAATGCAAGCTTTACAAATAGGAATTTCTCAGGAATAGAGCTAGATAAAATCATCAGTCTTCAGAAGTGGGATCACATCAACATTTCCAATTGTTGAGTATACATATAAAACAAGACTGTACTTAAAAATGTTTTATGTGTTCTCTACATCTGTATCTATACTGCTTATATTATCTTTATTAAGAGGTATAAATGTCACTAATAATGAAACATAGTTAAAATAGTCTTGTTTTAAAATGATATGTGTGATAGTGATACCCTGTTATTAAAAAACAAAAGCAAAATATTCTTGAACGATTAAATTGAAAAATTTTCCACTTAATCTCTATAAGGCAGTCATACTATTCCCAGCTGAGACCCTGTAAATTTCCTAAGATAAGCGTTGGGAGTCTGGTTTGTAGTTATATGGGAAACGTCCTCCAGATCTCATGATGCACAAACTGGTATAGATGACTCAGTGAGGCACACTTTTCTCTCTGCAAAGGTATATCAAATTGGGTGAGACAAAAGGTAAAGATTTATCACATTATTAAATATATCATAAATTGAATTATAGGACAGGAGGCAATTTTGACTCTATGATTTCTTCTTTGTGCCAATCCTTTCCAACTTACTAAGAGAAAGAAATGTGTCATAGCTCCAGATCGGGTTATGCCTTATGGGAAGGTAGATTCAGGGCTGGTTATTTTTATGGGAGGTATTACAGTTTAATGGTTGAAGAAAATATTCTTTGGAGTCAGCATGTTCAAAATTCTGGTCCTGGCTTCCTTCTTTTGGAATTGGCCAGTTATTATGCTCACTTTACATTCATTTCCTTACTTATATAAAGGAAAAATGATGACATGCATTACTTGAGGTATTTGGGATTATGTATATGCATATGTGATATAATATATGCATATGTATTTATTATATGTTTATATATTGTAATGTAACACATAGAATAGCACACTTGTGGTTACACACACACACAAACAACTGGAAACATCATCTGACAGATTATAGATTTTTATTTTATTTATTTTAAGCTCTTTTCCCTCATTTAACTTTTTTTTTTTTTTTTTTTTTTTTTTTTTTTGTCTTTTTTTCCTTTTTATTGGTACCGGGGATCGAACTCAGGACTGCCTGCTTGCAAGGCAGGCGCTTATGCAGCTGAGCTAAATCCCCAGCCCCTCCCTCATTTAACTTTATACCTACACATTTTTAGCGATGTTAATGAGTTTCTGAGTACCCACTGCAGCACAAAACACGTATTCATGGTCACCAAATATTAGTGCACACAGGAATAAATTACTCGTAGAATTGGCCCCTTATTTATATAAATATTTTGTTGTCAACCTACAGATGAATATTAATATGAAAAAAATGTACTGTGAGAATAACTTTATAGTATCCTACTATATCATACAGGGCCATTTTGGAAGCGCTTATTCTATGTGGCATCCAAATTTGGATTCCTTTAGGAAATATTGATATAAATATGCATATAGTAGTCACAAGAAAGACTTGATC